TCGCAGCCCAAATTGTACAGTATATATACCGTAGATGTCACTCATCGCCACAGCTCCAGTTGGGGAAGACCATCTGGTCCGATACCCAGGCTGATGCTGGGGACTACAGTCCTGAGAAGGCTCTGGACGGTCTAAATTCAGTGAGGTCTTTCATCTTCATGGTGTTGTTCGTGGTGCATCTAACGTGGGCTACAGGATGGACTCCTTTAGACCTTCTGGATCCCGAACCCTGGATCGGAGGGCTCACCGTCCGCTACCTTCGAGATGGCTGCTGCTGGGTCCTCCGTGGAGGTCTCAGGGATAATATTCACATGGTTGGCCCTACCTAGGGACTACACCATCGCGTATTGGGACCTGACACGAGCTGTCTGGAACTGGACGGTGAGCTCTATGTTCGATCACAGTGGGGACCAGAATAGTCTTCATGGTTGCCAGGAGTCCTCATCCGGCCTGGCCATCAATAGCACACAGCAGACCACCTATCTACGGCGAGGGTTCGACAGCGACAAATTCCGCGTGACGATCGATGCTGCCAACAGCTACCAGGGTGTACCTTTAACAGGTGCTCATGTTGCACCAAACTGGGTTCAGCGTGAGCCTCCTCTTTCTCAGCTCTACGTAGCCTCACGGTATACACTCCTGCTACCCAGTGTACCACCAGTACGTGCTCCACTGGCTGTTGCCTCAGTTCTTTCAACGCATCCAATTACACCGAGCATCCCCAATACGCCTTTGACGGTCTCAGCGCAACGTAGCGATCAGTAGGGCAGTAGACATCTCAGCTTCTCCACCTTAGTGAGTTCTCGGTCGATATTGGGCCATCCGAAACATGGATAGCAGTTCAAGTGTCCAGCTCGATCGCGACTGAAACACCGTTGGGGAAGATACGAATTTCGTGAGTACACCCCTGAGATTGTCCCCTAGGAGTCCTCGTATATAAACTTTGTGAAGTGGTTACACTGACAGTGTTGAGGATGGGGTCCTTGTCAGTTGGAACTCTACAACTATATGCAAGCGGTTTGTTGTTGAGCTGGAGGACCTCAGCGGACAGTACACTCAACTGATGGCATATAGCGACAACACGAACGCTGTGAATGAGGTAGCTACAGTGGCCTTGAGAGATTTCCTCATTGAGGCTCTCTGAAGGTGTTGTTCTTCCGACCAGCTCGGCACATTCGTATGAGGATGTACGAGAACCTAGACCCTCAATCGACACAATATCGTATAACGGAGATTGAAGTATGGAAGGCTGAGGATAGCCAGCAACCTCTCGGGGCCTCTGCTGACATAGACGATCTATTCACCACTGGTAGCATCGTGCTTGACCTCAACCGGCTCGATAACACGATTGAGGTGGTGCTGGTGTTGTTGTAGACGCTACCAACGCGATATCATCCATAACTCGACGATGTGGATGTCGGTGCCCGGACCACCG